CCATTTAGAAAAACATAATAATAACATATACAGTGAAATCGTTATTGTAAAATATATGCTTCTAGTTTCGATAACATTGACGATTTTAATGGCAATATTCATGGGTTATGTTTTACAAGTGGATATTAAAAATTTGATCGATCAGCAAAAATCCTGCCGGATTCCTCGTGATACTTAAGACATACTTTAAAACACATGTTTGTAATACTAACAACTTTGATATATTATAGAAAAATATTTAGAAAATCTTTAAATTGAATCTACAATCATGTAAAAATAAGAAATCTTATATTATACAATATTTAACATGTTAAAGTTTTTATACGTTTTCTCTGTTCTTCCAAAAAAAGATCTATAAATGTTTATTTGTAATTTCTCTAAATTAATTTTATATCTCGTTAATTTTTTATACATTATATATATATATACATATGTGTAATTGTCATCTAATAAGTTACCACGTGGTGTTTTGTAATACAAGGTTTGAGGAAGTACAGTATATTGTAAAACTATATTAAAACTGCTATTTTTATACATATTCTGAAATATCCTTATTGTATTAAACTTGAATGTAGATTAGCATATGTATACGCGCAAATTTTTGTATATATATATATCTCTCTATCATTAATGATTTTATTTTCTTTATACTGTTGTATTAGTTATGGCTTTAATGTGGCTTGTACATGATTCCATAATTAAATTATTTTGAAAATACATAAAATATATAATTGTGTGGAAGAGTTCACTAATCACTCACACCTGCAACGACTCTATGCTTCTATATGCTTCATTTCTTTTTATAATTTCATTCAGTAGTAGTAATTTCGATCAGTATATTGCAACAAATTAGCATCGAGTGCACGAAGCATGATCTTTTGACACGACGATACATTAGAGTTAGAAATATGAGTAGTTTCTTGTGAAAAAAAAATAACGGGCAATTAATATCCATTTTCACAATGTAGATTAATTTTAATATCGATTTAATTTACTCTTCATCTTTTTTTAATTCTTAAAATTAGAAAAAGATAAAAAGTTAGATTACAGCTAATCTACATTGGTAGAAATGGAAATAACTACGTACGTACATATACGAATTAATGGTAATCCGAGTTTCGCGCAATTTCCGTTTGTCAAATGGCTTTTAAGGTCTGTCCAGACAGGCTTGCACGATGCGAAATATGCGAACGCATAGAAAAATCAACCAATCAATCCTGCACAATAAGAAGTGGACGCGATAGCCAATCGCCTCCTTTTACACATCGCCCTTTCCGGAAAAAGCGGAAAGTTGATTGGTTGCCATGTCAGCTTAGGTGCGTGGAACGCGTGTAAATGCGTTTCGCATGTATGATAAATAATGTGCGATTAAAATTGGATAAGATGAAACCTTATTTAAATCGACTCTCATATAAAAAAAAACATATTACAAAATTAATATATAAAAAATACATTATATTAACCATAAAGAACTTTACGATTGTGTGCCCGATACAAAGAGCAGCGCAGCAACATGGCTATTCTTAGCGTTCAACGCGCAACGTATCATTTTTTTTTCGCACGTAGATATTGCATGGTAGAAATTCGCTTAAATGGATTTGAAATAATTGCAACTGAAGAATTCTAGAGCCTCATTCGAGCCTCACGAAGGATCGACGTCGTAGGTCGTACCTTCCGGATTCTCGAATTTCTAGATGTCAGAAAGGAACAATCACGATCGGCGTTGGTCGGCGTATAAACACGCGAGCGTGACGCGTGACGTGGCCTAGTGCGCAGCTGCCAACGCGCAGCACAGCGCAGCATTTGAACCGTCGCAGTTCGATCGGCCATATTTGCTCTTATACAACGCCCTCACGCGACGATCGTGGGTTTACGTGTATATTTGGTGGCCTTATATCGACCCATCGGCCCGAATAGCGTCGACAATCGTGTTCTACGGCGACATTTGGTGAGTTTCCACGATATTCGAGCTGGCGGACGGTCCCGGGACGTGCCGGGCGACCCCTCGGTTCCTGGTGGCACGCGGCGCAACGGCACGGCGGCATCGTCGCACGGTGTCCTCCATATTGATGACAGCGCCGACGGTGATAATTTTCTGAAATTTTTGTCGTTAATGCCCCCTGTGTCCTGAAATCGAAAGCACCCATGTTTGTCTTAAAAGCTCCCCGACAGAATGCGCGACCTCGTGGGGCCCCCGCCGTGTGTTTTACGAGAGTCCGTGAAATACGGTGTTCCCCCAGGTACCCGCCCGCGTCACCACGGCGTTGCTCACCCGTTCCTTTCTCGCCTCGCCTCGCCTCGCTGGCGTTGCCCGTCATGGCGCGCTCGCTCGGCTTCAGCCGCGGCGCACGTTGCCCCCTTGATTATCGCGCGCGTCGAGACACGCCGAGAAGCGAGCGCCCCGCCGTCGTCGCGGGCGACGCGACAACCGGGATGTTCGTCTTCGCTCAACGAGCTCCGGCCCCTCGGCGCACCACATATTTCTCTTCCCCGTCGTATTATCGATTCCTCTTGTTTAATTTCATCACGGCGATGCCCGCCGTCGAAATTGCTACTCGCTCGTCGTATCCTCGGGCGACGCTCCGAGAGGAACGACAGCCCGCATCCTGACCTACAAAGATGTTTTCGGTTTCAATGACGGTCAGGTTTATTTTCTAATCTCTCTCGCTCGTGTTTCCCTTCCTCGCAATGTAGACTCGCGACTTTTTAAGTTGGCTTTCGGTGACTAATGAAAAGTAGTAAAATTTAATTAGGAAATTATTATTGCTTTGTTCTAAAAATTTTTTGACTAATCATTACTCGTTTTGCCTTATAAACGAGAATAGGGCGTGTGTGAAGAGAAATTTGTGAGAAAAATGTGAATTTACAATTCGTATAGAGTGCATATTCAACATGGCTTTATGCTTATTTTTAGAATTGTTGATGTAAAGGTGTTATTGATATTAGAGAGATTATATTTACAGTAGTAGTAACAACTCAACACACATATTTCTAAGTTATCTGGACTTATATCAATAATGTATATATATTAATGATATAATGTTTCAGACTGATGAACATAGCTACCATTGTTTGAGCTGTATGCTTCAATCATGAGTAACGTAGCTACTATAAAATTGGAAGAGGGACAAGAATCTGTCACCGAGATACAAACTTACTTGGAGACATTTAATAAAGAGATTGAGGGTGGACAAGGCGAACAGTTGCAACATGTACAATGTTAGTATCTCATAGCAGTTTTTTTTTATAAATACATATTTATATTGTATTGTTCAATATTCTATCTCTTAGGTCTGTTTCAAAATACATTGCCAATATTGAGAACCTATAGTATATATAACATGAACTAAAGATTTTAAAATATATGTATATACATATAATTTATCATCCCCAAAAAATTTTGATTTTAGAAGAAACGATTTAAACAAAATGGAACGATTTCAAGGTTGACGCATTTTGGTCATGTTTTTGTTCTAAATGGATGAATCAAAAAGAGATATGATGGTCAACGCTACTTTTTGAAATAAAATTATGTGATTTGTTTTTAAATAGTACGATTGCTTTAATTATTCTCCATATGGAAGTATTAAGAGTGTTAAGAGAAGTATTAAGTAGAGACAAAAAACCAAAATTTACGAAATATTTAATATTTTATGTTAACATGTGCTAGAATAGAATACAAAATATTTTATAAACTATTGATTTTTTGATATTTCTACTTTAATATCTTTATATGCACTATAATAAGAGGAATCACTATGTAAAAAAATCATTATTTCATTAAAAATGGTGGAGGTAATCTTTATTTATTCTTGGTGCTACCACTTAGAAGAAAAACAATATGACTAAACATCTTCCTTGAAACCATTCCACTTGGTTTAAAATATTTTTTCTAAAATAAAAAAAAATTTTTGGAGGTGGTAAATTAAAACGGTAATAATTATACATATATGTATACATATATGTACATACACGTGTGTGTATATATAATATATACGTGTGTATATATATATACATATATATATATATATATATATATGTACATATATGTATAGAAATATGGCTTTTGTCCAACTCTTTGCATTTCAACTATGTTTTCACCTCTCTGTCATTTTATTGAGTAAAACAGAGAGAAAAAATAAAAAGGGCTCTGCTTAATAATTGGCTGCTACTATTCTTTTTTACTTTCTTTATCTTACTCAATAAAACAATGGAGAGATCAAATCGTTTAGCTCACAAACAAAGCATTGGAAAGATTTGTTTTATCTATATATCTGTATACATGTTCTTTGTATATTTTTATTATACAGTGCAACAAGTGGAAGGATTATCTGGTGGAGAAGAGGGTGGGACATACTTCGTCGATCAGTCTGGTCAATATTATTACCAGGCAAATAGTGACGAACCGCCTGTAATGACACAGGTACAAATACAGGAAGTAGAAGAGACTGATGTACAAAACGAAGGTGATGCAACTCAAGATGAACAATTTCAAGAAATCGAGGAACTTGAAAATGCTGAAGGTGATGAAGACGTGAGTAATGATAAAATTATAATTGTTGTCAACGATTGTAATTTACAAAACGCAAAAACACAGCTATAATTACACACAAATATAAATGTTAGGGACAGGTCAACGGTGAAAACAATCAAGTTGTAATTAACTCTGGCGATGCATATCAAACTGTCACGATTGTACCATCCGATACAAATCCTGGAGAAGTTAGTTACGTTTTGATAGTTCAACAACCTGAAACCGAAGAGAAAGAAAGTAAATCTACGGAAGATGATGCAACGACAGTAGCAGCAGCAGCAGCTGCTGCTGCTGCACCCGCTGACGGAGAAGAAGCAGAAGGTGAACAAGATCTCACTGTATATGATTTTGAAGACAATGAAGACAATGAGGCTCCAGTTGAATCTGAGGCAGAAGATGACAAAACTAAAATTATTAAGTTCCTCCCAAAGAAATCTCAAACCGTAACTCAAGCTCATATGTGCAACTATTGCAACTATACTAGCCCAAAACGGTATTACTTTTAGCTTGCACAATTATCTTTCTGTAATGTTTTTTATACTGGCACGTTCGAAAATACCATTCGAGTGATTCCGTGTATCATTTTATTTTTGTTCATTTGGATATTTATTAACAAGGATATAAAACAATTTATAGAAGCTCTCGAATGTTTCCGAACGTAGCGTTGTATGATTTAATTTATTTTTGAGTTTATTATTGCATGTCTATTATTGCATCTAAAGAAACGGTATTCTAAATTAGATAAGTAATAATAAACAATTTTTTTTATGTATACTTATGTAACAGATACCTTTTGTCACGACATATGAAATCGCACTCAGAAGAAAGGCCACATAAATGTAGTGTTTGTGAGCGAGGATTTAAAACGCTAGCTTCACTTCAGAATCATGTTAACACTCATACTGGGACCAAACCTCATCATTGCAAATATTGCGAGAGTGCATTTACAACTTCTGGTATGTAATTTGATCCTGATTACTTTTTCTATTCACATATCGTACATTGAATTATGTGAAAAAATATATAATGTATTTGATAAATTTCAAAATTATTTTATTTTGTTTTAGATATAATTAATTAATAGTATTGTTTATTATACATTAAATATAATTATTTAAAAATTAATAGTGATTTTGCTAAATTTTGCTTTTAAATTAGGAATGTTCGATTTATCAAATGTAAATGCTTGCAAAAATAGAAGTTGTATAATATATAATTCCTATTTTCATATGCTTGCAGGTGAACTTGTAAGACATGTTCGCTACAGACACACCCATGAAAAACCACATAAATGTCATGAGTGCGATTATGCATCTGTCGAATTATCAAAACTGAAAAGACATATTAGATGCCATACTGGCGAACGACCTTATCAGGTATATATTTTCATTTTTTCTTAATATAATTGATCATAGACTACATTTAGTCGTTCCATTCTTCCGAGGAACAGCTATGATCGGTCAATTTGATAACTATGGATGTTATTAAACCCAATTAAGCGTGCCGTGTAAATGTAGTCATATATGTGAAAAATATGTATATAAAAACTCTTTATAAATGCACTATAGACTGCGTTCCATTTATTGCTGCTAATATTGGTATTATTCTTGTTTAACATTTGATAAACAATAAGGCTGAAATGATTCTAAGAGTTTTGCAAGTTCTATGTGGAACATAGTCTATATGTAGATATATATGTATGAAGAATAAGTTGCATAAACACAGAAAAACAAAGTCTATCAAGTTTATTCTTCCTAGAATTGCAATTTTTGAAATAATATGTATAATTTATGTATTTCCTTATAGTGTTTTTGACTAGTTTTTATTTTAAAATATTATAATCTATGATATTTAATGTAAAAAATATGTTTTATTCTTAAGAATATTGTATTGATTCTGTAACACAATGACTAAATATAATATTTAATAATTTTTTTAGTGTCCACATTGTACATATGCAAGTCCGGATACATTTAAACTAAAACGTCATCTTCGCATTCACACTGGAGAAAAACCATATGAATGTGATTTTTGTCAAGCAAGATTTACTCAATCCAACAGTTTGAAAGCACATAAATTAATACATAATGGTAAGTTTTATATAGAAAAATATATATTGCTTCCAGGAAGTCTTTAAGATCAATTGAGTAAAATAATAATGGCTTTAGTATAAGGAAATTTAAAATAATGTTATTCATAATTTAATATGATATAATTCGCATACGTTAAACATAAAGATTTATTTCGCACGGAATGCTAGAGATCCGGGTTTAATCCTCAGCTGAGGTAATATTTTTCGCAATAATTTTTCTTTACAGATTTTAAGATTAAATTTGGGGGAATGTTTTAGATTGATTGTGTTGAAAGTTGATAGTAACAATTATATTCTAAGATAAATTCATTTAAAGAATACGTATACATGTATTAATTTAATATCTAACTTCGACCGAAAGTTTGCGCTTTTCGTATTTAGGTGACGTAAAGATTAATTTTATTTTAAAAGCTGTAATATAAAAATTAAAAGTACGACATTCGAACATTGTATTCAAAAATTATAGCATTCGCGCATTGTATTAATAATACTTTTAAAACTTGGCAGAAAAAACTATACAAATATAATATATATTTTTTATTGTATTTTGTAAGATAATACGGATTCAACCTCCATTTGATGCAGTTCCATTACACATGCAAATAGAGAAACTTTTTAAAAAATTGTTGAAGGTTTTTATGTGACTGCCTTCAATGTTTGAAACACATGTAATTTCTCTGCTTTATTCTGTAATTACTGAGGATGATCCAAATTACGGTGTCAAAACATTTAAATTATTGTTAATATTTTAATAAATAATTTGTTGTACACTCGGATATCCAGTCTCTTATTGGCTTCTTTTATTACACAGGGTGAGGCAAAAGTACTAGAACCCCTGAATACCTTGGAAAATATAAGTTTTACAGAAAAGTGTTTCAGATAAAAGTTGATCTTTTTATTGATCTTATCAGTTTAAAGTAGCGTCGCCAAGATCAAGGTTAAATCGATTTTTTAAAAATGGAAACTCAGTTTTCATTACATAATCTTATATCTTATCTTGAGAGCTTTTCAAAACACTATGACAAAATATTTTTCCATTAACTAATTTTGCTGCATTCAGCAGAAAAAACAGCTTTGCAACTGTTGTAAAATTCTTTAATATAATTGACTTTGTCCTTAATTTTTAATTGAATCTAAATGTATAAACTAATTATATTAAAGAATTGTACAACAGTTGAAAACTATTTTTTCTGCTGAACGCAGTCTTTTTGAGTTATAAGGCTTGAAAGTTACACAGGGTTGCCACAGATCTGGAAACCAGACAAAGTCAGGTAAATTGAAATTGATCATGGAAAACTGAGAAATGTCAGAGGAAAATGTAAAAAAGTCTGGAATTTTTTAATTTGCTCACAATTTCCTTAAATTGCTCCTATTCCAAATAATTATTATAATTTTTTAAATATTATATCTGACGTTTATAGTTAAATACGTTCAAAACTCGCGCACTTTAAACGATTTTAATAAAATAATTAAAATTTATATTTTATTCAGTATTTTTATTCGGTTGTCCTTTTTCATAACTGCATTCTTTTTTCCAATACTAATTTATTTTTTGTTGGCTTGAATTTGTACCTAAAATTTTATTATGCTACTAAGCCTTTTTTGTATTATTTTTAATAACATAGACTAGCTTTCCTACAATCCTTGATTCTAAATGTATTAAACTGTACATATTTTATATTGGAAAATTTTCCATTTTTTAACCTGGAAAACCTGGAAAAGTCAGGGAATTTTAAAATTCATTTTCTGTGGCAACCCTGTTACAGTACCGCCGGCATTAGCATTGTCTGTAATGTCCAATTGATGGTTAAAATCTTTTAAATGTTGTTTAGAATCATGATATTAACATCGTATGTTAAGGAGTTTGGAGGTTGTTTTTATTATTTTCATTTTTAGTGCGAGAATAAAAGTAGTTAATGGAAAAATATTTTGTTATAGTATTTTGAAAAGCTCTTGAGATAAGCTATAAGAATAAGCAATGAAAAACGAAAGTTTCTATAAAAAAGAGTCGATTTAACTTTGATTTAACCTTGGCGACGCCATCCAAGGTTAAACTGATAAGATCAGTAAATAGATAATTTTAAACCTTACAACTTTTGTCTGAAAGACTTTTTTGTCTCATTTAGTATGATATATATTATATGTATATTTTGTTTTATATCTGACATTAATTCTGTATGAACAGATTATGTATTATTTATATAAATTTATTTTCTCATCGCCACCATATATGTATTGCAGTAGGTGATAAACCAGTATTTCAATGCGAGTTATGTCCCGCTACATGTGGCAGAAAAACAGATCTTAGAATTCATGTGCAAAAGTTGCATACTTCAGATAAACCATTAAAATGCAAACGTTGCGGAAAGACATTCCCAGACAGGTACATAAGCAATTTTTTAAATTATATTAAGAAACATTACTACAATGTTGAAGTAGTTAAATATGTATTAAATACAAAAATTATAATGCGCACTTTAATGAACTATATTTTTAATATATGTATTATATTTTAGATATAGCTATAAGTTGCACAGTAAAACTCACGAAGGAGAAAAGTGTTACAAGTGCGACCTTTGTCCATATGCATCTATATCGGCGCGTCATTTGGAAAGTCATATGCTTATTCATACCGATCAGAAACCATATCAGTGTGATCACTGCTTTCAATCATTTAGACAAAAACAATTACTCAAACGGCATTGCAATCTCTATCATAATCCTAACTATGTTCCTCCAGCACCACAAGAAAAAACGCATCAATGTCCTGAATGTGAAAGAGCATTTAGGTATGTATACGTAATCAATCTGAAATGTTATCTGAAAGGATTAATGACACGATAAAACTAATTATTAGTACAATTTTTTAACATGAAATTTTCTATTACGCAGACATAAAGGTAATCTTATTCGTCATATGGCCGTTCACGATCCAGAATCGTCTCTGCAAGAAAAACAGCAAGCTTTGAAAATCGGTAGACAGAAGAAGATACAAATCATTGACGGTCAACGTGTTGAAGTAATGACAGGTAAGTTTCAAAACTATGACCTTAAATTTTTATAGGAAGTTGTAAAGAAATCGCAACAAATTTAGACTCTGCGTGCGTTGTTATTCATAAATGTGAATTCTTTGCATTACTTTATAGCATATAAAATCGTTCATCCTCACAGGGACACTTACGATATGATCTAAAATATGGGTCATTGACTAATATCCATGTGTTATATTGTAACAACAGGTGATTTAGCTTCTAAACTTAAAGGTTATGAAGATGAAGAAGAGGAGGAAGATGAGGACGACATGATGGCGGTTCAAGGTAGTGATGGCCAGCAATACGTTGTGTTAGAAGTAATTCAGTTAGCGGATACTCAAGGAACTGATCAGGTATTTGCTCCTTAAGCAAAATATTTTAAAGGATTTATTTATCTCTTTTGAAGCAAATTATTATATAATTATTATATAATTAAATACATCAAGCATAATCTAAAATCATTATACTTATAATATCATTTATGATGATAATTAGATGGCTGTTGTCGCAAGTGAAGATGGAGAATTAGTAATGCAAGATCCTTTAACTCAAGACAGTAGCATAGTAACAGGAACAGGAGAAGAAATTGATGAAGTAGAAGAAGATATGGAGTTGCATGACCTAAAGATAGAACCCTCTACTCCATCAAAATCATCAGCACAAAATTCACAACATGATCCTAAATTGCAAAAAGAAATGGAAACCTGTTTCGGGTTTGATGAGGTGAGTAGTACTTAATCTTTTTTAACAAAGTTATTTTTTAAAATAACATTTATATTATAAGAAAAAGAAAAATAATATGAATTTATTTAGATAACATTGGATTTTAATACGTAATAAATTATTATATTTTTTAGGAAGAAGAAGAAGAAGAAGAAGAAGAAGAAAGTGGTAATAATATAAACATATTACAAACAATTTCGTAATAACAAATATAAAGAAAGAAGATGTACCTATTCAATAGTCCAATGTTTCACTTCTGTCCCAGTGTTAGTGTAATATCCTTAAAAAATAAGGAAAATTAGACAATAAGAGCCAAAGCACTTGACAATTTTCCTTATTTATATTGTAAATCTATTATAATTAGTTATAAAACAAAAATTATTATAAAGTCAAGAAAACTATATATATATTGTGTATAATAAAACTGACGCAGTGTATTATCATCTAAAAATACTTTGCATAGCTCTAATAGGGAGCTGCAGTGTGATTTACATGCATGGTACAAGAACTTTTTTTGCCGTTACTAGGTACACATAATAATTTATGAAAATATCGTAGTTTTGGTCTATAGTAAAATATCAAACAAATGTACAATTATGGATAGTGTAAAATATGATTTACGTTATTGTCAATAAGAAAACTTCTTAATAATGACATTAACAAAGTTAGGTAAAATTATATATGTTAATTATAAGGAAATATATTAATATCTTGGCATAATATTTTTAAACAAATTTATTTATAACTTTAATGTAGAAGGCCGTTATGTCTTTTATTAGACGTGTGTAACTAACACAGTTCTGAAGAGTTAAAATTAGTTCATAAAGCTAAAACTAATAAGAATAACATTAAAACGGAGGTTACAATGTAAATAAATGTTTATTATTTCCTATATATATCTTGATTTAGAGACCATTTTTAAGTTTCAATATAAACAGGAAATATCAGGAGAAAAGCAATTAATTTGTATCTGTCTCAAAAGTATTTTATATTGTTTATCATTGTCACACTTTTTCTTGATGTTAAAATATCAGGAAGTAATAGAGAGATGCGAATTGTAAGCTATATCTTAATTTCATAATAGTGCTAAAAATAACATTTTGTTAAAAGAGAGGACAATGTAACATATTTTTTATTTTTTGATCAAAATATCCTTTTGTTTTGCAACTAATTCGAAATTCGAAAATAGCTTATATATAATATTTTTTACCAACTTCTATGTGCAGTAATACGCATAGAATGATAATGTTATTTTTACAATAGTATATTAGATACTTATAATTATTGAAACTTACAATTATATTACAATTTAACTTAAAATGTTTTATAATAGCACTGTTCGTGTTTTCTAACAGTACTATTATAAAATTGTCGAAAGTTATTTCACACCTTGTACTAAGCAATTTTTGATATATACTAAATACATATAAATGTTTAATCACAATCTCGCACGTAGTGTTTCCCGTTTAATTTCGGGCATGATGGTATTCGAAACAAAACAAAGCGTACATTGTAAACGATTTTATGTGTATTTACTTAATAAATGTCTTGAATATTTCTGTCATTTTAGAATAAGTCATATAGGAACGAAATTGTTGAACTAATGAAGCATTAAAATTTTTTTTGTATAAGAAACAAATCATATTCTCATGCCTTTTTATTACAAACTTGAAAAGTAATACTTCTTTAATGAAATCGATTATATTGCTATATTAAAGCGGCATGACATATGTATCTTCACGAATACATCGGAATAAAGAAAAGTGTATAATTAATGCTCGTACAATGTTGCTCATGAAATAAGTTATTCCGCTTATATAGGCGAAATAATCATTGTAAAAAATATGTACAATTTTTTTTATATACACAAATTGTACAATTGTAATTTAGTGATCAATTATTGTATGCACTTAAAATTCTGCACTTTCTTACATTATTCCAAAGAAAAAACAAACGGTGTAATATTCTCTCGATAATAAACATTACCTTATCGACAATATATTCGTTGCAGCCATTCGACGTACTTGTTCATATTTACTCGTTCGTACTTCACATTTTTAATTTTTCTTTCTATTTCTTAAGTTTATTTAGATTTTATGAAATCGACATTTTACATGTCATTTATGCAAAAGTTCGAACATATTTATTGAGCTTTTAAATTTTTAATTTGATGTTTTTTTTCTTGTAGATATTTTTTATTCAATTTTATTCGATAAATGTGTTTACCGATGTATATTTGCGTCTTCATTAGAAGCAAGAATCAAACAAGTGAATGAGAGTACAGCGCGTGGTTAAATGCGCAGATAATAATATAAAAATTTTATTAACTAATTTATTAAAATACCATGAAATCTTCACATCAATTAAACGTTTTAGTAATTTTCTTTGGTCTTTAACATATTAAATTACAAAAATTGAAGAGTGATTTGTCTTGACGAGATCGAGAACAATTACACATATCTAATCAAATTTTTGATTGTGTTATTTAAATAAACATTCAAAAGAAGAAGAAAAGTCACGTTTCAACCAACACGTAATAATACGTACACAAATGGATCATGTCAAACGATAAATTTACAAAATAAGGAAGGCGTAAACAAAAAATTAACAAAAAATAAAACCTTATTAAATGTTAATATTCAATATTGACGACGCGACCTATCCATCAAAACGTGAATTAAGGCCATTATTCTGCATACGTATATAAAAATTTTTTTAAATTGCTCAACATATTTAAAAATTACTTAATCAAGAGAATTTGGACATTCTTTCAATCAAATTCATGATCAAAATTAGTTGTATTTCGTAATCACCAAATCGTTTCTAAACATTGAGCTCCAATCGCATTACTATTTATATATATTCTGCAATATTCTATTGTTCTTCCTACTAGTTTGATCTACGTAATAGTCGCACATCATAATCTTGAAATAGAATTTTGTACATATTCTTTGAATTTTGTGGGAGAATGTCCTCTTTGTTTGTATTATTAATTTGTTAAGTGTGTGTTCCTGAACCCGGGAAAAAATGTTTTATATACATATAATTATAATTAAAATTGACATATTTTATATAAGTATAATTATACATATATATAATATGTCCATTATATAACATTTTTTCTCGGGAACATTTTAGACACATGTTAATTGTACTAGAAACAAATTTAGCAAGGTAATAATTTTTTAATTAGATATTAATCATAAACGTAATGCTTTTGTAATGATATTTCGGATGTGACAATAAAAAAGCTTTGTCTCAAGCATTCCTATAACAGTGTCTTTTTTTATGTGAAAGAATATTCAATCTAAAATTTAGAACGATAAAAGTTCTCTGAATGTGACAAATTGTGATTTATGCACACTTTAATTACACATAAAACTATTATAACATTTATTCGTAGTAAAGTTGTAAATTTAGAATCACATTTAAATAAGACTCTAAGTATATAATTAGCATTAATTCTACGATTTTCCGACATAATATGTGGTTATTCTTCACTATCCAAAAGTTTGATATTTTGTAAAGTTTAAATTAAAGCTTTAGATATACCAAAGTAGCGCATATTATAGGTCCTTTATTTTGAATTTACTAACCATATCTTATAGCTATATCAATAATACTAAAGGCTTATTGGACTACAGACAACTAAATCGAAATGGCGGTTCAATAGGAAGATTATCGACATTTCGGTTTAGATAAAAGGAATGCGCTACTTTGATATATCTAGAGCCGATTTCACCAACGTCGATTAACCCTAATCGGGATTAACTGTCAACCATAATTCAATTTTACTAAACAGCAAATGCAATTGGTCAGTTAACTAGCGTTGGTAAAACCGACCCTTAGAGCTTTAGTTTAGATTACTATATTTTATTATAACCAAATTTATTGCAACCAAGGTGTGCAATTTCAAAGTGTGCAATTTTTTTACATATAGGTTGATCCTTTTTCTTTAAAACAAGTCAAGAGATGTCAATAGTATTACTTCAGTAATCCTAAGTAAGTTTTAAAAAATTGTTTAAAAAAAAGTTATGATTTTTTTCATAGATAGTACCGTGATTAGAAAGTTTTACAATATAATGAACCAAATTTTTAATTGAAAAACATGCTTTTAAGCGTCAAATAAGTAGCTGATTAAATTTTTTATTGTGTCGCTCAGATCAGATGAATAAATATAGTAAGTATGCAAATGTGACTTGTATAGTACAGTGTAGGTAACTTGGGTAACAGCTTGTTTTATTAAATTCAATCGTGGTGTCCTATGAGTCTCTAAAGGAAGTTTAAGTTTTAAACATTAATTACACTAGTTTACAAAAAATGTTTTTTTTTATAATTTTGAACCAGATAAGTTGTTTTCTTATTAAATATAGATTTTTGGATGCCTAAAACGATGCTATAAATTAAATTTCACTAGCACGTCAGATTTCCGAAATAATTGAGATTTATTGTGCAAAAAGTAGATTTTGCACTATTTAACATTTTTTTGCAAAAAAAATTATTCTGATTAGAAGTCAAAACGCCGATCTGTTTATTACGGAGCTACGGTTTCGAAAAGTGTCGCGAATATGTTCACTTTTTTCTAGCGCTACAGAATATAACTGTACAGCGTATGGACACTATGAACGGGTCGGCGACCGGCGTTTCGATTGTGGCGCTACAAAGTCATTCGTTTGTAGGAGCTCTAATACATAGTTCACATAACGACGAACAAATAATTTTTGTAATCTCAAACACAACTTAATGATATAATTGTGTACAATTGTCTAATCAATTTTGTATATATTTTACTTATAATTAGAAATCTGATGTACACTGAAACTTTGGCTTGCAAATATCATGTTTTCAGCATTGGAAAATCTATAAAAACATCTAGTCCGATTTAAAGTAATATTTGCTGTAAATTAGTATTACTTTGAGAAGCTATTAGAAAAATTCCATGACTTTCGTAGAAAAACATTGCATGATCATTCATGAACGGAGGCGTTACAAGGCACTAAGCAGATACGCTCCAGCATAGGGCGCAAAATTTGAAGAGGCGCAAAATTTTAATAGGCAGCGCTCTTATAAATATAAAGCTCTATCTTACTTGATATCTTAAATGAATTGAATGAAATCAATTAAATGAATTTTAAATGAGAAGCTAAAAGTGGTTTTCTGGAAATCTTCAAATTTAGCAATAGCGTTACAGATCTTATTAACTGTGCCAATGTCTGTGGTAACTGCAGAGGTATCTTTTTCAAAAGTAAAAATAATAAAGAATTTTCTGAGAAATACAATGACGCAGACGCGGTCATGCGATTTAGCTATGATATCAATTAAAAAAGAATTGGCGAACAGTTTTAATTACGTAATCAGTCTTAATTACATAACAATTGAAGACGTAATCAGAATTTTTCAAAAATTACTAAAGCTAGAAAATATAATAGTATGTTGCATTAAAAAAAAGCGTCAAATATATTATTACAAAAGAAAATATGAAATTATTGTATTCATATTCCTGTGTTATGCAAACTGGTAGAAATTGCTTTTTTTTTTTAGTTGTTGGTTCATTGCCGTTGGCAGGAGATTGGTGCTTCAGAGATTTAGCAATCCTTGTGATGGGGCGCAAAAGCAAATTCCAGCGTAGGATGCGAAAAGGACGCGAAA